TTTTTATGATAGGAATTAACTGTACATGAATATATATTTTTAATTTAGTAAAATCTGCCTTCCTTCCTTCCTTCCTTCCTTCCTTCCTTCCTTCCTTCCTTCCTTCCTTCCTTCTTTCCTTCCTGCCTGCCTGCCTGCCTGCCTGCCTGCCTGCCTCCTTGCCTGCCTACAGTTGTTCCCTACAGTTCTTTGTCTCTACAGTCTAGCAGCCATAAACCAGAGGTGCAACACCAGGTAGCACTTCTTAATTTTGCTCTCAGAAAGGGCCTTTGTAAAGTGCCCACAGAGCTTCAGCTGTAGCACAATAACTGGGTACTTTGAGAAAAGTGTCAGAAACTAAAGGGCAAAAAGTGTACAGCAGCTGGAGACTGATTGAAAAAAAAAAATTCATACTCTTTTCAAATTATTTCTGAGATAGAGTATGAGGCTTCCAGAAGAAATAGTTCTATTATCAGACCTAGCAAGGTGGAAACTATCACAATACAGGGAAGAATATTAAAAAATGCTTTTTCTTCATATTTTTTGATGATTCACACATTTTACTACAATATATGCCCAGCCTTCACCTGTAAATATATTCTGTAATTATAGTACTACAGTACCTTAATTGGACATCAGAGTCCACAAGCATACATAACTGGGCAAGATAACTACGAAAGACCAGAACAAATGCTGGATTTATTTTCCCATCTAAATAGAGGTAAAAATGCAGGCAAAACTCCTGTCAAGTGGCCATTTTAAGAAACCACCAAAAAACTTGGTGGATACTTTGTCAATTTCCACGTTACAGATCTTCCTTGTGACACCGAATTCAAACATAGTGTCCAAAGCCACATTCTTGTCCACCTCTGACCTGAATAAGGCTGACAATCCTGCTCTCCTAACTTCATGCATGTTAAAAGATAAAAACACATCCTCTTGGCTTTGATGATCAACAAAACAATGATATCAGCATCAAAACATGGTTCATGACTATGTAAATTGTATCTCGTTGATATGTATTCGGCAGTAATACCTCTTCCACCTGCTGCTTTCAAAACTGCAAACTCATGCAAATACCAAAACACCTTCACATTAATTTCTAGGTTTTATTCAATTCTAACTTTACACTTACTTATAAATGGAAGACAAAATTGGAAAAATTACAAGACATATTATCAGCATCTGTAAACACCTCAGGTTGTTTCTGATTCCTCCGTACAACAACTCAGAAATTCAGTTATGTCATTCTTTATAAGCTAGAGGGCATATTTTCATGGCAACTGCACAGCTTCCTTTATTACTAAGAAATTATATATCTCCATGCTTTCAGATGATGAATCTCCATGCCTGATCCTGTCAAGAAAAATTGGGTGCTTAAAAACCAACATATAATGACAAATTATAGTAAAAATAACTAAGTATGCTCCCAAAAACAATTTGCAGCCACACAGACTTGCAGTCTAAAATTAAAAAAAAAAAAAATTATATCTGTATAATGCATCATCAGCACAATGTAGAATTAAGAATTAAGCTGGTTCCAAATAAATTTAGGAATCGTTTAGCACAGACCTTTGTCTTTCTCAGTCAAAATTATTATACTCAGAAAACAGATAAATTAGCTCTGGCTTGCTATGTGCTATCGTGACTTAGGCTGCATCTAATAGCCATGTACCTCACTATCCCAAAAGACTTCAGTGTCATGGAGACAATGCTAATTTTGCAATAACCTGTTTCCTTCATGTTTTGTTGATAGAACATAATCAGCAACTGAAATAGACCACCAGGGAAGAACCTTCTTTTGTATGGAAGATGCCTTTCACAGATTATTTCTTCCAAGTATGCATGGAAAACAAAACTATTTAGACATACCCTGCTGTAATCTGCCATTAGACTAAAATTGATACATAGATTATAATTCTATTTGCCTTGTTTAAGTACAGACCAGTGCATCAGGTCTGAAAGTGCATTTCAATAAAGTCTAGCTAACTGAAAATATGTTGCTTGTTTTTAATATTTTATTTTATTTAAACAAAGAAATGTTCAGAAAGTTGTCAGGAAGTTAGTAATTTATCTTAAATCTGGATGAAGTCAGGCAAAGGTAGATCTTATCTTTCATTCTTCCATTTCTCGATCTCTAGCCAATGGAAGGACACACGGGGCCTGCATAATTTTAATTATGCCACCAAAAAAGCACTTTGACAATTGGAGATTGTAATGTACAATGGCAGTGTGGCTACAATGACTTCTTTGTCCCCTTTAGAGGAATACTTGAGTACTTGACTGTGCTACTTTTATAGCTTTCTTGTACTGTGAACTGGTTTAAAATAGTTATTTCAGGTACCAGAACATGCACTACAATTTGATTTTTTGTCGTTCTCCTCCCCATACCCAATAAACCACAAGCTCACTTCCACATCTTTGGGCAGACAGCTGAGCCAGAAACAGTATTGCAACTCTGATTTTAAATCATGTATGTGGGCTGGACCAACCAGTATGTTGGTACTTATGAACTGGCAGGATATCAAACAGGCAGAAACTATCCCTTCCTTTGATCAATTCCAACATTTCCTCATAAGCACAGCTTCTCTTCTATACCTCCCTCCTGTTTATCTCAAGACTCAGACTTTGTTATCTTTTGGAGACCCTCATGTGTCTGTTAGATTTGACTACAGCTGACTAACAGGTTGAAAACTATAAGGAAGAGAATAGCAGAGGATTGGACATCCAGGCAGACCATGATCACAAAGAATATTTTCAGAAGGAAAACAGGCCAGCACTTTGACTGCAACATGCTGACAAAACTGGAGTAAGCTATAGGACATGTGTTCTGTACTCAGGAAGGCTGAACTGGAAGATACAGCCCCACATACCTACTTTCCTGTTAGCTGAGAGATTTTATTATAAGAAAACGAATTTACAGTGATTGTTGCAGGTGTAAGTATTAAGGTATAAAACTATATTACAATCTGCTCAGAACAATACACAGTAAAATATTTCTCAAGGAAAATAACAAGTATTTAATTTGACTGTGGGCAGGAGTTTTAACAGAGGGAAGAAGCCTGTGGAATGCGCACATAATAGATCTTTCTGCACAAGACCTTCCTCCAGTAGTACTGAAGTATTAGTATTTGCAAGATTACCAGACAGATCCTATGAAAACAAATAAATAGAGGTACCTATTGGAGTAATAGACAATGAATGTATTATGAGTATAAAATTCTGATGTTCAGACCAGTTGTGTTCTCAAGTTTCCTTCTGCAATAATTAGGAAACGTAGTGTGGCGCAATACTAGAGCTATATTTGAGTGCTGACTTAGACAAGTGGCTGGGAAACCCCATTTATGGAAGACACTGTCAAAAGCTTTTCGTTGTTGTGAAATCATAGTAGTATGTGGGGTTGTGGAAGGGTTATGTATATGATAAAAAGGCAGACTGAGAGGATTCTTTAAATGAGGATTGAGACAAGACCATGGGTTTCCAAGAGCAGAAGAAATGCAATGAAACCATAAGCAAAGTTACTAACATGTTGTGTAGTAAACATAATTTGCACCCTTCCTTGTATGAAATGTGTAATATTGGATACTTGTTAGATTATGCTCAGTTGTATTAGAAGCCCCCCCCACCCTTGCAGGCGAGACCCGGTGTATACTGGAAACTGATTTACAAATAAGAGGATGTGACTCGGCCAGGAGATGGGCCATGTCTGGAGAGATATGGGGACACCCAGGTGCTGATCATCGCGTGAATGACCTGAGATGGATATCATGGAAATCCTCGGGCAGATACATGTGAATGCAGAGTTCCTGTAAGCTTCATCAAGGGATTCCACAACTCCGGACACTGAATTGTTCTTCCTCATCACCAAAAAAGAAAATCTCATTAACATATGGACTCTGAATGGAAGAAAAGACTGATTGCTGAAATCTTGGCCTCAGGCGGAATTTGTGCCAGGATGGAGGTGTATGGGCATAGAGGAAAACCTCTGCTGAGGCTGACTTCTCTGTTGCACAGCCAGCACCAAGCTCTGTTCTTTCCTTGTGGCTAGCTAGATGGAATTTGATTGCAAAATAAATATTTTATTTTTCATTTTAATTTGGCTGGACAATTTTTCATTTATAACAAACTGAATTTGTCTCAAGAACATGCTTTTCTAAATGGTCTATAAGTATTAGAAACCAGGTGACAATTATCAGCTTTTACTGTTTAATAAAAGAGTAGCTAGTGCTTACAGTCAAGGAGATAGGTCTGCAGCACAATTAGAGATTGCTACTGTAACTTGTTGGGGTGCCCACAGCCATGAACAAACATGCAGTGTTCTTGCCACAACTGGACACACATCAAAGAATTATAGAATACAATGATTTGGGTTGGAAGTACTCTCCTCTGGACCTGTTCTAAAAGGTCCATGTCTTTCTGGCATGAGGGCTCCAGAGCTGGGTATAGAAGCCAGAGGGGAAGAAACACCTTCCTCAACCTGCTGGCCTCATGTTTTTTGATGCAGTCCAGTCTGCAATTGTCTTTCTGGGCTGCAAATGCACCTTGCCAGATCATGTCCTGCTTTTCATACACCAGTACCGCCAAGTCCTTTTTCACAGGGCTGCTCTCAATCCATTCACTCACTCCATTGGGAAGACCCTGCGTGTGCACTTGCGCTAACTCCCTAAGACGAAAGCCAGGATGCTGTACTTTCGCTGTCTAGCCCACAGCCTCATTTTTTATTTTTCTGTTCTTTTTGGCACATGTGTCAGACACCTCCCGCAGAGCAGCTGTGGCCGGCGGGCTGTGAGGGGGTGCGGGGAGAGGAGGCCGGCCTGGGGAGCCTGGCGGGGCCCAGGCTGAAGGATTCCTGCGAGGAGCCCGTCGGTGTTGGCGAGAGGCCCGGGGGCCATTTCCCCGCCGCCTCCATCGCGCCCGGCGTTGCCAGGGTGACCGGGGCAGCGGCGCCCCCGCCCCGGCCCCGCCCCGCGGCCGAGCGAGGGGCGGCGGCGGCCGGGCGAGGCGAGGCTCCCTTTGTTCGGCCATTTCGGGGGCCGCAGCGGCGCCGCGCGGAGCTGCGGAGGGAGAGGTTGGGCCGCTCCCTCGCCACTCCCCTGCCGCCGGGCTCTGGGATGGTGTGGGTACGTGTCGGGCTGCGAGGGGCGGGGCGGGACGGCCCATCCCCGGTAGTCGCCGGCGCTGCCGCGTGGCCCGGCCGATGTCAGGGGCGCCCGCGCTGCTGTTGGGCGGGGAGCCGTGCGTCTCGGCCGTGGGCTGCCTCTTCCGCTCCCACCGGGGGTGGATGGATGTATTGCATGCATGGATGGATGGATGGATGGGGCAGGCAGCGGCTGGAACCTGAGGATCTGGGCAGACCCCCGGGATACCCCCTCCAGCCCCCCTTTCCGCCGGCGCTCCCGGGGTCACGGCTGGCGCTCTCTGCAACATTGTGCCGGAAAGTGAAAGTCGCTGCACGATAGAGGAACGCGGCCCCGTTTCCTACCGTGGTTTCTGGCGTGTGGGGGGTCCCTGTACAGATTTGCCTATCTGTGGGGTTTTAAATTTTTATTCCGAAATATTAGAGAGGCGAGAAATCTCATGATTGTCTAGTACTTTCGTTCGCATAGGAAGGTTGTTAATTCAGGTACTCGGTGGAAATTGACGGTGGAACTTGTGAACGTTCTGTGGGGTGACGGTACAAAGGACAGGAACGCTTTCTGGGGTTGATTAGTCTGCAAGATATTTGTCTCCTTGCTGTGAAGGTTTATAAATCCTCTCGACTTTCTGCTCAGGACCGAGAAACCTTCCTACTACTGTGAGGACTGTTCTGCGATGAATTGAGCTTCTTAACCTGTTCGTTTGTCCTCTTGCATAGTTAAGTAGTCCTTAATGTGGCATTCAAATACATCAAAGGTGTGGTTAAAGCCTTACAACACACATTGAACAAAAAGTTGACTTTTGTTCCTTCTGTAAATGAATAATTGAACAGAAAAAATAGTCATATACCCGAACTCTTAAAAGGAGCCTTTGATAGAATTGGAAATTGAGCCCATAAGTCTTCATTCTACATCTGCTGTGTGAACTGTAGTTATTTTTGAGTGGTGTGTGGGAGGATGGAGGAAAGGTGACTACAGTTGGGAAGAATAGTTTCTGTATGATCAAAATTACTTAAGAATGTATTTTTCAAGATTTAGCTAGCTTATTCTCAAAGGATAAGACAAAAGAATAGTTATGATGGTGCACAAACAGATTACAAAAGCAGTTTATTGACTATGTTAAAGGAGGAAAGCTCAGGTTAGAATGAATATTGACTAAGGACCATGATTACTGTTGGATACAGGTGATTACATATTTCATTGACCAATACAGGTGCAAGCACAGCTGCTAAATTGACTTATGCCTTGTGACACGGAGGTTAAAACAAAATAATAATGGCTTTATTAATGTAGGTTTTTACTGGATTATCTGACACACTTTTCTGTTCTATTTATTTAGAATCCAGTTTAAGATTGAATGTGAATATTCAATAAAGCTTCAATGTGTGCTTCAGGGATGGGGCCTGAAATCTTTTATAGTCAGGTGATAGGTATGCACAGAACTTTTCAGCAGACTGGCAGAACTGTGGTAGAGTATATCCTATTCATACTTCAGGCACACCAAGATGCTATGGCCACATAGGAGCGTGGAGGGATGGCCAAATACAATTCTCCTCCATCAAAGCTGGTGTTCAGAATCTTTCCAGTTAAAGATTGGGGCTGAAATAGAGACTGATATTTTATCTTTTAAATGTCTTAATAATAAAGATCTTCTGTCATGGACCCAATGTTGTCAGTGTCATAAAAAAGGTTTTTGTCATAAAAAAATTTACAGCAGTTTTGTGAACTTGATATGCACTGGTCAGTGCATTATTATCAAGTTGTGCCAGGATTTTTTTGTGAGGATTTTTTTTTGTTTTGTGTTTGAAAGGCTAGGACTGCTTTTCCATTACTTTCATGCCTTAATATGTTGTGATCAGTTTTAATCACAGAAATTAATTTTACCCATTAATTTGGTTCCAAATTCTATAAGCATTTAAGTACATGTAACAGTAGTATGTTTCAATCACTGAATCCACTGCTTTCCACTCACTATTTTACAGTATTGATTTGTATAACTGACATAGCTTTTCTACATACATTGATAGACTTTAGATATATACTATACAATGTTTTTATTGCATGTATTGTACATAATAAATAATAATATATTCATATAGAGAAAGATTCTAATATAGCTATATTATACAAATCATGTTGAAATTATTTTAAATTTCTCATTGAAAGAGATATAGTTGGGTAGATCCGCTGTTTATGTATGTGACCTGTCATGTACATGATAAAACACTATACATATTTATGCATGTATACATGGATGCCTTGGAATATGGCTTTTTCTAGTAACAATATTAAATAAACCTCCAAATGTCACTTTTAGCCTTTAGGGGGTTTTCTTTTCCAAACCAGTCTCTAGAGTGAAATTTAAACAATTTTAAAACAATTGTTTGTTAATTTTCCATGTACTGAATGCATTTGAAATTTTGAGTTTGTGTATATGTCTTCATCTAGTGTGTATGTCCTTGTCTATGTGAGCAAAAGCATAGGCATAAAATAAAATTTGTGTTTAAAGAATTTTTTTGCTTTTTAAACCTTGACTCAGAGTCATACTCTAAATTATTCTCCCATTAAGTAATTTAATTTTGTAGAGGACTTTCTACAAGTCATTGTGAGATACTCTTAAACACTAAAAATGTGCTGCTTATGGTGAACCTTCCACTAATTGCATTAGTTTAAATGTGAGGTCAGTGTTATATATGAAAGAAGAAAAGATAAGAGGTAGGTATATGATCATCATCAGTCACTTCTGGCATCCAGGGCTTTTCCAACCATGTCAAACCAGACCCTCATCTATGGCTCTTCTCCCACCTTCCCTACTGCATGTTCCTATCATTTAAGCTAGGATTGCAGTCCAATGCTCACATTTAATCTTTTCTCTCTGCTCTTGCACCCATAAAAGTTTATTTTTTATTTCAGACTTCAGTCACATAATTTTTCCTCCACATACCCATATAATCAACCTTCACTTTCAGGAATAAAAAGTAGAACCTTGGCTTCTCCTGCCTTCATGTACCTCCTTAATCCTGTTCTTCCTATTTTACTATGACTTGGTCCTCTTCTTCTATCCCGAACCAGAAGCACATTCTGCGGGGGGGCAGCAGAGCTATTCATTATGTTGAATGTGAATGGTGGCTGCAGTAGTTCCTAACTGTTCCCACAGGTTTTATGGAGGCCTGTATAGGAGCAGTGAGACCCAGAATCTGTGGCTCAGTTAAGTTTTGAATGTAGCATGGAAACAGGCATAAGTGGCGTTTGTGCTACACTTTGGCCACCTTTTTTATAGACAAGGAAGAAAAATCAGTAGCAGACAAGCATGGAAATGCAAGAGTAATTTTTTTTCATCAGAGACTAAAAAGCACACATTTCTTCTTCTACTAGATAAGCTAAATCAGTGCAAAAATCCAAACAGATGTTTCAGTCTGTTTTACATCAGTTTTGCTTGAGTCAATCAGAAAAAAAGCCAACCTTAAATTAAAATAAATTATTCTTTCTTGTGCAGACAGGCCCCAAGCCCCGTCTTTGGAAATCAGAAGTGACTACAGTCCATTAAGTGTAATGCAAATAGATTAATTTTGTGTAGGAGGCTTCAGTTGTTGAATCTGGCCCATGAAAAGTAAAAACCAACCAAGATGACCTTTGAATGGGAGATTTTGAACAAATGGGAATCACATTAACAAGAACACAAGACTCGTGTAATTGCATTCTTTGCTTGTATGTGAGAAAACAGATTCCACATTGGTGTCTGGCGCAGAGATGCTTTTGGAGCCCCTAGAAAAAGGAATGGAAGTAGGTCAATTGATGAGGGGAAATGGTTGGTTTAAAAAAACTTAATGTTCATTATTCTCTGTAACAGAGAGAGCATGTATGCCCTAAGTACAAATATATTTCAGATATCTTCCTATCTCAATATTTTTTAACCTTCCATAAGTAAGAATTTATTTGGTCATTTGATTACATTGACAAATTACTTCAGACACACTCCTTCCAAAACCTTCCATGTATCTGTAGAAGACGTTGTATAGTCTCCTTCTGTTTCTCCACTAAAAACACTATAACTTCACATTTATCTGCTTCTGGAGAATCCCTATTTCCCCAGGAGCTAACTGTTGGTTTTCTAAGACAATGAATACTTGAAATACGTTTTTCAATCTGTGATGATAGTATGCTTTCCAATTTAGTATGGAATCCTGTGTTGAGCATTGTCCATTCCAGTGGTTCTCTTTATTTCTTTGTGATTACAGAGAATCAAAATAGCAAACAAAAATCAAATACAGCACAATTGGCAGTATTCAAGCGTCCCTCATTTGCATTGTGCATTTCAAGGTATGCTGTGCTTTGGTTGCTACTTCCAGTTGTAGTCTTTTCATACGTGGTGTGGAAAAGATGATGCTGATAAGGGAATTCTAGGTTAGGTTTGCATATAAACACTAATTAGTTCAACTGTCAGGTGGATTGCTTTGTTGTTTTTATTTTTACTTTCAGTAATTGTACAATGTTTTAAAGATTAAATATTTATTTTTAGATATGAGAAAATTAACTATATTTAGACTATATGAATCTGCATTTTAAAATATTTTAAATAATTTTAATACTTAATAATAGAATTTTTGTATCAGCACATGAGATTGAGAATCACCAGATATTGAGGATACTTGTCCTTACCTTGTTTCTTTTGTTCTGCATAACATAGCTAATGGGTCATAGTGAGGCTTTGTTAACTTTAGCTCCATTGGGCATTGCGGTGAGATTCTCTCTCCTTTTGTTTTTCTTTTTTTTTTAAGGCTAAATGAGATAGCAGAGGCTGCCTTTTGACAATCTCTTTGTAGGTCTTGCTTTAGGTAATAATGCCAATTATTTGGACAATTTCTTAACTGCAGTTATTTCTTGGACCTTAGGAGAAAGCGTATACCCCTGGAAACAAATAACTATCCTGAATAGTATGAGGCCATACAAGTTGGACCTAAACTATGGTGGAAATTTTAAATGAT